AAAAAAAATAAAAAAAAAAAAAAAAAAAAAAAAAAAAAAAAAAAAAAAAAAAAAAAAAAAAAAAAAAAAAAAAAAAGTTGAGCAGCCGGCCGGAAAATATTTTCCCACCAAAATGGTGGGAAAATATTTTCAATGATTTGGTGGAAAATGCTGACGTGGCGGGTGGGAGGGGAAAATATTTTCCGTGGAAAATTTAAACTATCAAACAGCGCAAAAGATGGAAAATTCCATGGAAAATATGGCTAATCAAACAGAGCCTTAGTCTTTAACCATTACCAACGCTAACACGAAATGATGCAATGAATGCGGTGAGAATTTATACTTGAAACCGCTCTATCCAAACCAAATTGGACCGAATCATCTATCGAATGAGGTGGTTCTATCCCGTTCTCTTTGAAATCGATACGATTTTAAGTTTTAGCCCCCTATTTGCTGGCATTACATTTTTTTTTTTTTGAAGCACAAAAGAATCCAATCCAACTGAACAAAAAATGATCTTTTTTTCACATGACTTCATTTCACGTCTTCTCTCATTTTTCGTTGATTCTGCCTGCTGATTTCTTCCCGTATACATAACAACAAATACATACAAGTATTTGTATCTATCTATATATATATATATAGATATGGAGAGAGAGGAAATGGAGTCGGAGGACGATATGGAGCTGATGATGGACGATTCGAACGACGACGATGAATTCTTCGGTGGCGGAGGAGATGATGATGACGACGACCTGGATGACGTCATCATGGATTACGATGGCTTCATTGACCATGATTCGGATGACTCCGATGACCTGTCATCCTCCCATTCACACCACCAGCATCATCATCGATCGCAGGTCGTCGCAATTTATATTCGCTCTTGTTTTTGTTTTTTTTTAATGATGACTTCTTTTTTTTTTTAATTAAAGTTACAATTGGACATGGGTGGTAGGCAATTAAAGATGCTGATTGTACAATGATGTGTGGTTGTGCTTTTTTCTTTAATAATTTGATGACCAGGATGATATATATGTAAAAGATCGAATTTTTAGTTTATATCATTTTTTTCATTATCTTGATTCTTGAGGTAATAAGTATGATATTTAAGTCAATTATGAGGATAAGAAAATTACAGTTTCCCGATTTACAAATATTTTTTTTGTTATCTTCTAGGTTCGTAAGGTGTGGAATAAAGTATTCATAATTCATGGGCTAGTTTTAATATATGTGGAAAACAATGAGAAATTTGTAGTTCATTTTCTTGTGGAGTTTTGTAAAGGTTTCATGTAATTTGTGACCAATGATATATTGTTGTGCAAATGGTTCTTTTTTGGCTAAAATCAAAAGCTTTTAGGTATATGCTTAAAATACGTATACATGGACAACACAGAAAACTACTTTGAGTTTTCTGTTACAACAAAGAATGTATGGTTGATTGCCTGCTAACCCTGAAGTGGGGTACATGGACTGAAAATAATTGGATTGCTTTCAAGGGTCTGGAGCTGGCCAAGTTCTAGGGTGGGGATTATCTTGTTGTTTATGCTACTACTTGTTTGATTGATCTCACTTGCTTCGAGAATGAACTTTAAAAGACCCTACTTTGTTTGCGTTTAAACTTTTATCTCACATATGCGTTTTACCATGACTTGATAGAATTAAATGGATGAATTAAGTTTGAAATAGAAGACACTAGCTTAAAGTTTGAAGTTTCTGTAGGTGCTTTCAGTTGCCTACTTTTTGGTTAGTATTAGATGTATTGGTTGTTATCGGAATTTTGATAATATGATTTACATACTTTGCCTTTTATATGGAAAAGGAAAACTACTTTAAATTTCTCCTTTTACTTTTATTTCTAAACAAAGTTTTAACTTCTTATTATGTTGATTGAAACTTCCAAATTCTTGAATACATGCATGAATGGTATGAGCTTCATATCTTGCTTAAGTTCCATGTTTTCATAACTTGTGCTTTTAAACTTTTTGGACACTGACAATTTATGTCTTCCCCTGGCAGAACTATACAATTTTGAGTGAAGCTGATATTCAGCAACTGCAACAGGAAAATATTACGAAAATATCTATGGTTCTTTCAATTCCAAGGGATGCTGCTAGCATTTTACTCCGCCACTATAACTGGTAAATTGGCCTCAGATGAATTCCTTTATTGGAATTACTTTTGGAAGTATTATTTAGCGCATAGGTCGTTAGTTTCTGGGCTGAAGTATACTTTGGTATGTTCTTTACTTGTAGGAGTGTTAGTAAAGTGAACGATGAATGGTTTGCGGATGAAGAAAATGTCCGTAAGGCTGTTGGTTTGTTAGAGAATCCCATCCCCCTTCCTGCTGCTAAAGAGGTGATTAATCCATGATGAGGAAGTTGTATAATTTTTTTTTTTGGATATGCATAATATATTGGGATGTCGTAGTCATTCTACAGTGGATTCTTCTAACTATCATCTCCTATAAAACTTATTTTTCTAGCCCTCCTGCAGCTAACTTGTGGAATATGCTTTGAAACATATCCTTGTGATAGGATGAGTGCTGCTGCCTGTGGTCATCCCTTTTGTGTCACGTGTTGGCAAGGTTTGTTTCCATAGCTCATTACTTTCTTTTCTTCTTAGGGAAAGCATAATTTAGTATGTGACCCTTAGCAAATTAGAAGGGAAGACTCCTGCCCACTCTTCGGCAAACCAAACTGGGGAAAACCCAATTTAGTAAGGTATATTAGTGCTGTTTTCTTCTTCTTGGGGAAACCGCACCTAGTCATTTGTGAATCAGGGCAATTTAGAAATGAAGACCCCTGCCTCCTCTTCAGAGACCAATAAGCGTGTTTCATTGATCTTAAAGGGTGCCTAAAAACACCAATTTTTGAAAGTAGGTAGGGATATACTTTTAGAAAAAGGCACTTTTAAGCTTATCCACTCATGCTCCAAATCATCCTCTTATGCATTAGATTATCTTTTGTTTCTTTTTCTTTTTTTTCCTTTCGAAATGTTCACACGAGCTTCTGTTTGGTGCTTAACATGCTGTTTGTGTTGATTTAACTACCATCGTTTGAGGTTCTAATTATTCCTTATGTGACACAGGGTATATTAGCACAGCCATTAATGATGGCCCCGGCTGTTTGATGTTACGCTGCCCTGACCCATCCTGTGGCGCTGCAGTTTGTCAGGACATGGTGAATAAATTGGCTTCCGAAGATGATAAAGAGAGATATAATCGCTACTTCCTTAGATCATTTGTTGAAAATAATAGGAAAGTAAGTCAGCATATACAGCTATATTAGAGAAGTCCTCATTTCTGCTTAAAGAATCTATGTTTATTTTATTTTCTGCCTCAAGTAACTCTCTAATTAGAAGAATATTTTTTCTGCATTGCTTAGTAATGAAACTTTGTTGTACACGTTATACAGTTTGATTCCCATACATGAGAAATCTAGATATAATACATATATCTCTTATCTGTTTGAATAATCTGGCCTCTTCTTATCAAAAAAGATTATCTATATTCAAGAACTTTCCTAGAGCATCTTTATCAATTTAATGTCACTCTCATTGTTTGAGTCTCTGTTGAATATTTGAACACATCCCATGTGATATAGAAGTTTAAAATGCTTTTATTTGTTTTTCCTACAGACCAAATGGTGTCCTGCACCAGACTGTGACCATGCTGTAGATTTTATTATTGGTGGTGGAAACTATGACGTTACTTGTCATTGCTCATACAGTTTTTGCTGGAATGTGAGTCTCACCAATTCTTTAAAATTCTAATTTATTTCAATTAATCTTTGTATGCCCATGCTCTTAATTTTTTCTTTTACATGAAATGGAATCGTTTGCAGTGTGCTGAGGAAGCCCATCGTCCAGTTGACTGTGGAACTGTAGCAACATGGATATTGAAAAACACAGCTGAGTCTGAAAATATGAATTGGTAGTTACTGAATTGTCCTGAAAGGAAAAATATGCTGTAATAAATCTGGGTTGAGTTTATACCATTTCTCAGTTCATCCAAATTCATTAAGCTAGCTGCAAATTGCTTACTCAGGGAGAATCTTCAGTACCTTCTAAATTGTTGTAGTCGGTTCTCAAAATATTAGGTTGAAAGTTTCTTTTAGCTATTGACGACTGATATTTTGGTAACTGAATTGTGAAGTTCATTGGTGAGCATGCAATGTCTGCACCCCACTAGAAAAACAAATAAGAAATAGGAGAAAGGCTAGCTATCCCACAATGGTCATGCATACCAGATACAGAGTGGTAGAATGTGGAAATTTTTGCTGATGTAATTCGGATTGTGATTAAAGTTGATCTTACAAAGAAAGATCGGTTATTGTATAGCTGAGACATAGGAATTCATGTAACATATGTCGTACAAGGCATGATCCTGGCATCAAGCACCTAAGATCAGTGTTTAGATATGAACCTAATGCTGTCTCCTATAGAAATACATGCAGACACCTTTGATTGCTCTTGGTCAACTTCCATTTACTATAACGCTCCTTCTTTTCTGTAATCTATATCAATAATTAAGTGCTTATTTTTTCTTGAACTGTCTTCTAGATATGTATGCTCATGTTGGTCTTTGTGTGTGTATGCTTGTAGTTCTAAAAAATTCTTAAAAGTTTTATTCTCTCATTTCAAATGTATAACCTTATGTATCTATAGTTTGATATTTGCAATTCCGATTGTGTATACTGAACATGCGAATGTGCTTCCTTTTTCTTGATATTTGTTGTTATCATCTAGCCATGAGATTTTTTTTATAGCAAATTTCTCTGATATTAAGTTTTATATATTCAGATATTTTTCGTTATATTGTTTCTCAAAAGACATTTAATTTTGGCAACCCGATATATAAAGATGTGTTTATCTTTAAAGCAGTTTTTGATATCTTTGAACACATGTAGGGGATGCTAGTCACTTATTTACTTTGGCACCGATCATTAGAAAATTCATAAACTTAAAATGGTGTATGTTATTTGTTCTCTATTTAGACTATGAAAAATAGTTGCATTATCACACGAAAATGAGTACAAGTTAGCAGCCTTTCTGATTTGATGGTTAAAAAGCAATTGCATTTTTTATAGTTAGAGTGGGAATTGTATATATTACACTTTGTTCCAATTAGTTGTATAATTAATTTACCACTGGCCTGATATAAATTTTTTATTATACTAAGTTGAAATTTGTGAACTATGTTGTTTCTATAATCTATTTTGCTGTACATAGTGGCTACATAAATCTTATTTTCTGATGACATTACAGGATATTGGCTAATTCCAAACCTTGTCCGAAGTGCAAGCGGCCAATTGAGAAGAACCAAGGTTGCATGCATATTACATGCACTCCACCCTGTAAATTTGAGTTTTGCTGGTATGTTATATTTCTCCTAGTTTGAATGAAATATCTTCTTCAGTTTTCAGTATATTGTAGATTATTAACTTTCTGCTCTATGAAAACTTCTGTTCTTAATTTTCACAAAGAGAAGTTACTTCTTAGTCAATCCATACATTTTCAACGATTCACAACACAAGCAAATTATTCGCCTTTTCTTTCTGCCCCTAGGATCAACATCTTTTGGAATATGTCATGATTCTTGTTAGCACATCATCTGATAGGATATCCTTACAGGCTCTGCCTCGGTTCATGGACAGAACATGGTGAAAAAACAGGTGGTTTCTATGCTTGCAATCGTTATGAGGTTGCTAAACAAGAAGGATTGGTAAGATTATCATTTTTTTTGGCTTACTCATGTTGTTGGGATAGCATGTAGCTGTTTAATTTGATTTGTTGCAACAGTTTGATGAAACTGAAAAACGAAGAGAGATGGCTAAAAACTCTTTAGAAAGATATACACATTATTATGAAAGATGGGCTACCAACCAATCGGTAGGTATACATTATTTTTCTGCATTTGCTGGTGGGTTGCTGATTTACCTTTCTAATAGTTATTTAGAGTGTTTTGAATAGAATTGATTTTTGTGGAACATTATGATAAGCGTTATACTAAGAAATAGTGCAAAACAAAAATATGGACATTAAAAAAGAATGAGAAGCGCTCAAAAACTAGAAATTTTAAGATGAAATAATTTTTTTAAATTTTAATTGCGTTTAGTCTAGGATATGTACATAGAGACACTCAAAGCTGAAGCCCTTCTGGAGAAAGTAGCTCCAACCTAAAGCAAACTTGACCAAAATTTTGCCAAGCATGAAAACTTCCTGTGCTCGTTCTGTAGAGCCCCAAAACTATTATACAAATAATATTTTCTTTGGCAGAGGATAAAGTGAGCCAATAAGTTTCACTTGCTAACCATCCCGAGAAAGTATTCTTTAAGCTATTACTATATACTCCCTCCATCCACAATTGAAAGGGTGAAATTGAATTGACTTGGAGTCTTAATTGGTTCTATAAGCGAGCATTGATATTTCGTTTTTACCCTCAAAACTAGTAGCTAAAAGTCCTTGTTGATGACATCATGTATCAAGGGAATTTTTGTGAAGTAAATAGCTAGCATAGGAAGGAAGCATTATTTGCAGATGTTGTCATGTCATAACAACGAAAATGAGTGTTGATTTTGGATGAGAGAGTATTTTCGTAAACGGGAATTTTAATTTCATAAATATTCTTACTCTGACCCTGCTTTCTGTATAGCTCCAAAACTGCTACATAAATAAAGAGTTGGTATATCATTATGTTGCTTTCTGGCAGACGATCAAATGAGCTACTATAACTTGCTGACGAACCTGTGAAAGTGCTCTTCCAGCTAATACTTTGGATTTCTTCCATCTATAATTGAATTCGCTAATTTGAATTGGCTTGGATCTAAAGTGAGAGTCGCAAAAGTGGATATATGGTTTAGCTTTCAATATTGAGCCCCAAAATTAGTGGCTAAGGATCCTTGTCAAGACATCATGTATTGGTGGAATGTTTCAAAAGAAAATAACTATTTTAGGAAATGGGGTGAGGGGGTGTTGTATGTGGATGATTCATAAACAAAATAGGGACACTCAGCTATGGATAAGAGAGCATTATGCTACATGGATTTGATAATTTCTTACATTACTTTGTGAAAGTTACAACAAACCTCATGAAATACTATGTCTCTCATTTTATCTATTTTTCTTATTAATCATAAGCAAAGTATAATTTGCTTTCTACCTTTCTTGCAGTCTAGGCAAAGGGCACTGGAAAATTTACATCAAATGGAAACTGTACATGTGAGAAACATTTTGCTGTGTGAAACTTACCTATCTTTCCTTGTGATTGTAGTACTTCGTCTTTTCTTTTCCTTTTTCCTCATTTTTGCCATAAATGAAACTTGTTTATTGAATTGTATCAATAAGCTTAGGAAGAAATCCTTTTGGCAACTGACATATTCTTCTTATACCTGTTTTGTTGTTCATGTTGGGTCACGTGTAGTAAATCTTACTAATTTTTTTCGATTCCTCATCATTCTTGTCTACTTATTGTAGAATTGTTTTGAATCTTTGAATGGTTTCAATCATTAAAGCAAGCATGCTTCATGTTCTGTGATTTTTATCCCAAATAGATGTTTATGCTGGCTTTTTGTAATTATCAGTGTTATACTTCTCATCTTCCAGCAAATTATTGTTTTACGTTAAGGCTGATTTTCTTAATCAATAGGTCTGTTCTCTATATGGTTCTTGTCACAGGATTGTTACATTATAAGTTATTCCTTGCCTTGAATCTGTAGTTCTGTGATTGATTTTTATTACTTTTGACACATTTCCATATTGTTATCTTGTTGCACACGTAATATTTTTAGATCTTCATGGAGTAGACTTCTTATTTCCTTGGTTTGCTAAAACTGTTTATTGCCTTTTTGATATCTTTTGTCCAACTTCTTAGCTTCTGTTGGCATTCTGAATTCCAATCTGGAAATATATGGCTTGTTTTACACAGATTACCCGTCTAAAGGTTTCGAGGAGCTTTTTGTATAAGAAGCTCTATTATCTGCGAACTTAATCGATGTGGTGAGACCTTGTGTTTGAGCATGGCGTCTCCAATCTATGAACTTCTATTAGACTCAATTATAAGGAAGAATAATTAGGTTTCAAATTAAACAAAGCTACAGTCTGAAAGAATGCAATTTTATCATCAGTAGAAAATAATAAATCAAGATATAGACTGAACTGAGCCGGAGAGTTCTGATATTCACTGATGACAGATTAATGCATAGACAGAAATTTTTTCTGGTCCTTGAACTTTTAAAAACCAAGGTTCAACTGAACTTTGAACTAGAAATCATCTGCCCTTGATGATCTTTTGAATACTCTCTTCAGCAGTCCTAGTTCCTTCAAGTGTGTACATGTTCCTGGCTTTTCCCAAGCATGATATACATTGCCACGTCTACCCTAAAAAGTTAAAAAAAGCAGAATATGTAAAGAAAATAGAACAGTGGGGTAATGCTGGAGAATTAGGTCTGGCTGAAGGCTTGGGCACTAACATCTTTAGTGGAAAGAGCTAGTAATTCATTCTTGTGGGACCATAATATAATGGATCAACTGTATAAAATATTCTTAGTACGAAGCCATACAAGCAAACATAGATCGAATAGAACTTTGTGATGTACCTTTTTTTGACTTCATTTTGTTAAATGTAAAATGAAATAGTAAAATTCTCTACTGAGTATCTTTCTTTAAAGAAATAGAAGTTAAGAAATAATAGACTAATAGTTATGTCAAAATCTTTAACGCACACACTCCTTCCATCCGAATTTTGCCATAGTTTTGAGTAAGAGTTGAAGAAGTATTTAATATAAATATTTATTTTTTACTCTCGAAAGTGATGGCATTGGATAGTTATCTCTCACTCCATATACTTATATAGGAACATCTAATCATACACAGTCACTCGGAGTAATATGAATTCATACCAAAAGATTCAAAAGGTATAAAAAATAACATGAATTTAATTATTGCCGTTCATTATACTCGAAGAAATTTAAAAAACGTTAATGATCTATACATTGCACTGTAAACAGTTATCCATACCATTGACTGATCTATAACACACAAGTATCTTGATGCATGTACACAAAATTGTCTTTAAGACGTGAAACTAGATTTATTTTGGGAATAGATGAACAAGATAGAAATCTTTACGAGAATTAGATATATACTACACGCTGGGGAAAAAAAACCATAGATATGCAGGAATTATCTAATTAGCATGAAACCAGAAGTAGATAGATTCCTATTGGGATCCAGCTACTTTCGAGCTAGTGCGTGATATTGGGCTAAAATCTCAGCTTTTATGTAAAATTAACGGTTTTAGACTAAGGATGGATTAGAATGAAGACGATATACTGTATGTGAAAACTACATTATTTTGATAATTAGGAGTATAAAGCAGTCTGATCCTCCTAGTTTCTCTGCCTAGTGACATGTTTCTATGTTTCTAGGTAATACAATGGTCAATACAAAAATCTATTTTTCTCTCAAATACTAATAAAGTGTGCAAATTCCTGTGCTGAAATTATACTTTTGTAATGTCTTTGGTGTATAACTTATCAAGATCAGTAGACATCGTTGGACCAGCTATACCACCAACATACAATGTTGAACAAAGGGGATAAAATTATTAATGAGACACAGAAACTAATGTGCATATGCCTTTTACAATTATTCGGTAATTGTGAAAGCGGAAATTGAAATGAACGTGTTTAAAATGTTGCAACCGCAATACAATTTGTAGACAAGCCAAAAGGAAATTATCTATATTTGATGAAGGCATGCTCAATGTGAACCATTAGTTGTAGTTGATACGTTAACTATTAGATGCAGTGGGCCATGAGGAAAGGAAAAGGTCTTACTGATCTTACTCGAGCCATTAATTATTCTTGTGTTCAAATTTCTGAGAGCAGCGATGATAATTTTCTTTTGCAGCTGGAAAAGCTGAGTGATAAACAGTGTCAACCCGAATCTCAGCTGAAGTTCATAATAGAGGCCTGGCTACAGGTAATTAGTAATTTTCGCATTGATAAGTGGGATTGGTCGTTAATGTGGCACTAAGTTGTTGCCTTTTAGGGAAGATTTCATACAACTAGTCTATACTTGTGACACTTCTCACTGGAAGTTGGATATAAGGAAGTTTAGGGCTTCTCCTGTCCAAAAAGCCAAAGGATGAATTTAAAGAAATTTGTTTTAGATTCATCTGGCAGCATTATCGTAATTCATTGTATTTTCTAGCTCAAGATTCAACATATAATAATATGGGCATAGAAATATGCTTTTATTTGATTGATCCTTGCTCATAGTTAGAAGTAGGATCTAGTTTATCATGGTTAACAATCACAAAATGTCCAACATCTTCAGATTCTTATGCAAATCAACAAGTTGAATTTAAGTCTTTTCTCCTTGGAGGGGTTTTGAAGATTTGCAATCTGCATCATTTTGATGTAGCAGTGTTTGGAAATCAAGCATTGGGTGCCTTTCAGATTAATCTGTCTTGTTCTTATTCCCAGTAGTCTTAAAATATAGGTCAAACAGAAATGTCACCAAGTATGTTCTCTGACTGGGAACATATTATGGTCCACTGAGGTCTTCCATAAGGTGGTAACATATTTTATTCTTGACTTTACATTTGCGTTTCGCAGATTGTTGAATGTAGACGGGTTTTGAAATGGACATATGCATATGGATATTATTTACCCGAGCATGAACGGGCCAAGAAGCAGTTCTTTGAGTACTTACAAGGTTTGTATGAAATTGGAAGCTCATATATTATGTGTCTTTTCCTTTTTTTGCTGTAACGTTGTATTTGTGTTCTTTAGGTGAGGCTGAGTCTGGTTTGGAACGGCTTCATCAGTGTGCAGAGAAGGAATTTCAAGGCTACCTCAATGCTGGGGGTCCATCAAAAGACTTTAATGAGTTCCGCACAAAGTTAGCTGGATTGACCAGGTGACTTAAGTTATAGCTGTTTCTTCAAGTGAAAGCTTTCTATTTCCTTCATTAGATCAAATCATAGCATTTCATGAAAGACTGCATTCTAGCTGAACTGATGGTTCTGTTGCTGATGTTTCTGGTCAAAAGAAATGTGGAAATTAATACTCATTCAACATATCATAATTCTATCTGTATTTAATTTCAGTGAATATTTTGTGGCACAGATCATGAAGATTATGTTCTTCTATTTTAAATATATTTTGGAGTCGGATCACAATTTCATTATAAATGGATAGACAATGTACTCTTTTGTATGATTTCTAGTCATGTGCCTGGTTGATGTACTATTTTATAAAAAAATATCTTGTAGCGGCTGGAGTGGCAATTCAAGAATTGTATAGGAAGCTTAATTACTATTGAACAGAATCGCAGTGGAGACTTGATTAATACTTCTAAAGCTGAATTACAAAAATGTTGTAACTGGTCATAGATGCATATATCATACGAGTGCTGTTTTGGCTCATTTAATTAGAAAAAAACTGATTTAATTACTTTCAAATTTTAGAGAGATGTTTGGTTAAGACCATAGAATATAATTGATTTTCTGTAATCGGTCATCGAATCAGGAGAAGATAGAGAAGAGGAAGGAGATAAGGGCTGAAATGTTGGTCAAAGGGATGGAAATAAATTACCCGAAAGATTTTTTTTTTGTGGGTCGAGGAGGGTCAAGGAAAAGAAAGCCGAGACTGGAAAACTGAGAGGGAGAAAGGGGTAGCAATTGAAAGAAGTTGAAAAGGAAAAGTGATCATTTAGGATATTTCTTTACATTTATGGAGTTACAGCTGTCCGTTAAATTGTAATTTTCACTCTGTTTGTTATGTCACTTCAGTTTTCATCTCTACGTTTAAAATATAATGCTCTAAGGCATGTGAACCTGTCTCATTCAATTTTTTGAATTCTAACAATTGCAGTGTGACTAAGAATTACTTTGAGAACTTGGTCCAAGCTTTAGAATATGGTCTATCAGATGTAGACTCTCAGGGCACTGGCAGTAGGGCAGGTAGCTCGAAAACTCTGGGACGTGGAAACAGCAAGGGGAAAAGCAATAGAGGCAAGGGAACTGCGTCCAGGTCGAACAGTTCTCGAAACATAGATGATTTGGGACATTGGTCTTGCGAATATTGCACCTTTGCCAATGCTAGATCAGTTGCTGTTTGCCAAATGTGCCAGCAACGCCGGTGAATCCATTCACCCCACTTTTCTACGTGGTTTTACGGAACCAAGTATGTCTCTCATAGTGCAGGCGCGCTGCCTTTCCCATGGGTGGACGCGGGACGAACATAGAAAGAAAAATTGGGAAAAAGAAGTGTGATGGAAGACTAGAAAAACTACAGTTAGTATATTATGTTTTACTTTTTAAGTAGGTGCCTGGGGCCCACCTGTAACTCATAGTTACACAACAATAAGTAAAATATATTTTAGGGCTGAAAAAACTCGTAGTTTCCTGAAATGTTTAGCAAAATTCTGCGTTCATTTTACTCAGAATGTTGAAGTTAACTTACAGAGCCATTTTCAAGATTGTACACACATGTACATAAAATATAAATATATTTGTGTGCGCGCGTACGTAAAACTAAGATTGAACATAAAGAATTACATGGTTTCTGTTTTTCATGCTCAGAATTTTTTGCAGAGTTGAAAATCAGTGAAAAACGGTTTAAAAAACAGGAGATTGATGTTGAGAAAGATTTATAGTTTTGCCTACCTTTGGGTGAGAGAAGTGCTGAAGCCAAAATCAATGCAAATCAAAGGCTCATTATATTCAAACGTACGCATTCAGCTTGATCTTATGGCTCTCTTCAGTTCCTCAGAGTCAAACTTCATTATATAAGCTTCATTTTCCATGGATAATCGAAAATTGTAAACCCCAACTTCTTAATTTCTTTGATCTTCGTGATAGTCTAGAAATTTCTTTTTTATGTAGAGACATTGATTGGTGAACCAGACGCTGCTGAGGATTTCATAGCTATTTCATTTCTAAATGATGGTGGCGGGTGGCGACTGGTGGTGGGTGTGTGGGATGACGAAGATAATATTTTTAAAAGTTGAAAGTGGAAATAGAGATACGATCAATTTGCCCTTCACTTAAATAGTCAAAATGAGGGGAAAAAAAATTTGGGTAAACTAACGGATGGATGTACGGATTTCATCGACATGTCCTCCATCTGCAACGGTAAGTAAATGTTTGGGACCTCACCTGCCAAAATGAAAGATTTAGGTGATTCCTGAAAAGTCTTGAAATGTTAGAGACCGCTGATATTTTCCCTATTAATTATGATGACGAGGAGAGTTCAAAATTCCTTTGGCTTCCTCTAAAATTTGTATACGCCACACATTAGCACTTAGTAGCATAGAGACCCAAATCTATGCATTTTTTGACACCATTAGTCATTTGGCCATTTGAATTCGGACACTGGTTTTAGGCGTGGAATGCACTTTCTTTTTAAGAGTAAATTGCATATTTAGACCAACCTTTAACGAAAGTAGCAATTATGACCCTAATCATTTATTGTCTTATTTTTGTCCCCCAACATTTGAGAGGTTAGAAGTTTAACTTATTAACGACAAATTTATACTTGTCTTTTAATAAAAGGAAGTCCTTTTCCTCCTCCTCCAACCAAACCACTCGCTGGCAAAACTTTCAACATTGGCAACTCCACTGTCAGTGACTTTATCTCTGTTTGTCATTACCTCTAAAAGTGCGCATATACGCCGCCTAAACACAATGAGCAAATAAAGCGCTAATACCTTGACAGTGAACGCGAATTAAGCGGTCAAAGCATATACGCCGCCTAAACACAATGAGCAAATAAAGCACTTTTACCTTGACAGTGAACGCGAATTAAGCGGTCAAAGCATATACGCCGCCTAAACAGTCAACTACTAAGTTGACCGCTTAAGGCGCACCTAGTCATGCCTAGGGAAATTTTATTAATTTTTCCTTTTTTAAAAAAATCATTTTATTTGACTTTATTTTATTATTATTATTTTTTTCTTTTTTAAAAAAGCTTTTGTTTAACGTTAGTTTCAAATTTTTAAATGATTCTATCTGTACAAAAGTAAAAAATGACTTTNTTTCAAATTTTTAAATGATTCTATTTGTACAAAAGTAAAAAATGACTTTATTCGATAATGATTTAAATAAGATTTAAGTTACGATACTATCTATATTAAGTAATTATGATTTTTAGACTTATTGTCTATTGAAATTTCTATAAATATGTTAAGTAAGGCTTGTCTAGTTGAAATTTGAAATTATGAAAAATAGTCTAATTTTTACATTTCGAAAATTTGAAAATTGTATAATTGACTAACTATAAGAATTATTAAGTAAATATAGAATTTATTAATTTTAGATGTTTGGTATATATTATTTTAATTTTTAAATAATTTTTAGAATGCTTAAATATTTAAAATAATTAACATTTTTTTGAAAAGCTTGAAACTTAGATCCCACGCCTAATCACGTTTTACGATTTTTAGAACACCACTTTAAAGTGTTAAAAGGTGGAAAGACGGGTTTATCCTTCTTAAAATTGGTTAAATTGAAATCCATCTCTAATTAAAATGAAAGATTAGGAGTAGCATTGCCAAAAATGAAAGGTACAGAACAATTTGCACTTTTGAAAGTGTAAAGGACCCAAACTGCAATTTCCTCTTGAAAATAAATTAAGGGCATGTTTGAACTGCATTCTTTATGTATAATGCATTTTGGAATAATAGATTAATGGAGAATGTGTAGTTAAAAATGAAGAAAATTTTTTTGGGTTATATGTAATATTATTTTATTGAAGAGTGTGTGGTTGAAAATAAGAGAGAGAAAAATGTATTTTTGAAAAAAATGGAAATCAAACGGTATATAAAAGAAAGTGCAACTTCATTCATTTTTTTCAAGAAATACATTCAAAAGGATCAATTGTGCCATAAGTACATAAGCTTGGGAACATTTGTACAAAGATTTAAAAGTTTGAACACAAAAAAATGCAAGATGCACAAATGTTTGAAACCATTTACCCATTTTCCAATGAAATTCTTTAAAATCCCTTTTTCTTTCATATTATCATTCATTAGATGAATATTTAAATATGATTTTTCTTTTGCAGTGTTTTTTTAAAATTAATATTCTATCTGCAATGGGTTACTTGAAAAGCATGTTTAAAAGAGCTTATAAAAAGTTTATTTTAAGTAAATTTACTCATAAATAAAAAGTAGATTTTAAATAAGATAATACTGTAAGAAATATTAGGTTAACTCAACTGTTGCTAAGGCCCCGGAAGCCAGTGTTTTATTCACTTTTATCCCAATAGAAGTTAACTGACTGAGACCATGTTGAAATAATAAGTTTTTGGAGAATGTGTGGTTAAAAAATATGAAAAAATTTTAAATTTACGTATAAAATTATTTTGAATAATGCTGGGCTGCCACATCCTCTCTGATAGGCCTCTCACAATGTTGGGGTGTGGGGGGGGGGGGGGGGTTCTTTTTTAATTCATATGGGTCCCGCATGGGAGAGGATGTCAACCAAAGTGTCAAATTAATTCTAGTAAAATGGCATGTTTCAATTATTTTATTAAGAATGCGAGGTTGAAAATGAGTTTTAAAAAAAAGGCTAAATAAGAGTCTATTATTCCTTCTTAATAACGCTTAAAACCTAGTTTCATCCACAACAATGACGCCAAGTAAAACAAACAAAACAAAAAGGTTTTGCTTATATAAAATTTACTAAAGGAATTATGCTATTAATCTTTACTTTTTATTGTATTTGCATAATTAATCTCTTATGCTGAAAATTGTTCAAAGTCTCAGTAAAATTGTCATGTAATCTTGTTCGAAATAAGTCTTATTTAAAAAATTTCATAAGAGAAGGGGATAGAGTTCGTTGGGTTTGTTCAAGTTCTAAAGAGAGAAGAGCTTGACTTGATTGTTATTTGGCAATGAGGAAGTGATATAAATTTAATTTTAAGAATAAATTAAGAATTAAAAGAAATATCTTCGATGCACGCAAGCAAGTAAATAGCTTAGTCAAACGGAATTTCAAGGTTGCTTGTAGTAGCCTTTGTTTGCTCAAGCGGACAAAAGGACTTCTTGAGCGAACTTTCAAGTTGTTTACAACCACTCTGAAAATTAAATCTTTTAAAAGGGAAAGTTGCTTCCTTTCTTGGAAGATCACATCTTTTCATTCAAAGGATAGTCAATTGCAAATAAATAAGTTGTTTTTTAAGAATAAAAGAAAAATCTAACAATCATATGTGCTAGGGTAAATTATACACATTGACCAACATTTGATCAAATTAAGAAAGGGTCAAATGATCTTTCCATATTTCTTTATTTGAACCAATTAAAATGATTAAAAAAGAAATACAAAAAAGTATGAAAATAATTTAAAAACTTGATTATAAAAAAATAGTCTGATTATCATTATATCATGGAATGCTATTCACATGAACAAGTAACATTTTTTATATTTTTTATATAATAACCGTGGGTATTCGAACCAAATTGCGCGCACCTCGACTAATTCCACGAGACCCTGAAATTTACGATCGAGTACTCAACTCAGTGGTCCTGAGGAGACTCGAACTGTAACATTTTTTTATATAAAAAGCGATTATTGTAATTTATATCTGTCCTAAACCAATACATATTTCCAACCCAAACTTGAGATAAGGAAAATAATTATTACTTGAAAAAGGATTAATACTTGTCAAGAATTCTAGATGTTTTGATTTCCATTTGAAAAATTGAAAGCCATCTTTGAAAAAATTGAACTGCACTACTATTCAAAGTCCTACAAAAATATAGTCCTTGTTCTTAAAATAATCAAATATATAGTCCTTGTTGTAAAAAGAAATAGAGAAGATAGCCCACAAAATTTCTGAGTTTGCTTTTATAAGTTTGACAAAATACTTGGAATGTTCGAGAAGCATGGTTGCTAAATATTTAGTCATGTTTGATCGAAATCATAAACAAATGATCCACCCAGGATTAACATGGTCCAACAGTTGTCAAGGGAACACAAAACTTGTCCATCACATGCAACGCTTTAATTGCACTAAAATATTATGTAATAACTTATTGGTAAT